CTTGCTTGATCAAACTTTTTCCACTAAAATCCTTCCCAGTAAGGTCCTGCCCTCTGGTCACCTCAGCACCATATGGACCTCCACCCTTTGTTTATCCACATGTTTCACACAACCTCATTAACATTAACATAGCAATAAAATGCACCAATTTAAGACAGCTGATTTCAAGAGAAAAATAAGCCCAACTTGTATTAAGCAAAAGAAAGTGACTTTGCAACAGTAATGAATTAAAGGTTCAAAAAAATGCAATCTTGAAATGGCTAAATTTAGTAAGAGTTAATTACGGATTTAGTCTTTAACTATCACTCATTACCAATTTTAGTCATGACTTTAAAAATTAGCAAATTTAGTACTTAGTATTGAATCCTTTCCAATTGTAATTCACTATTCTGTGTGTGAACAATTATTCTTCCAGAGGTTGAACCCCAACCCTAGGGCCCCCACATCCCGACCGGACAGAGCATTTGGGAGGATGTAAATCATGGTAAATCAACTGAACATGAACCACAGAGGCTCGACCTTTGCTTACTGCGCACAAGGAGCCCCTCACTTCGAGAGGTAGATCCCACACTACTGCGTGAAACTCGATCCCTGGTCATTCTTCTTTATTTATTAAGGATAAAATTGTAAATCATGACTATTAAAACACTTATTTATTAACTAATAGATCACTCTTTACATCACAACTAATAGACATGAATTTTCAAATACTAACATAAATTACAATTAGAAATGATTCACTATTCATCGAACTAAAGTTGGTAACTTTTAAATTCAATACTATACTAAAATTGATAATGAGTGATAATAGATTACTAAATTTGGAATTAAGTCATTACCTTAAAGGCCAATGCAGGATCAGAGGCAAAGAAGAGTGAAGCGGAGAGGAGAGCGATGAAGCCGGCGGTGGAGAGGGATTCACCCAGAGACAAGAGCGGGTCTTTTCTCGGAGCCTGAGATTGTGGGCTCAAAGTCGCCGGAGACAGAGAATTGGCGGAGATGCGAAAAGGGTAGCGGAGGAGAGACGGCGGGACGGCGGGTTTGGGAGTAGTGGAAGCTGTTTTGTGAAGAGGACTGCCAAGTTTTGCGGAGCACAAGCAGCTCAGAACCGCCATTGCTGAAAGATATGGATAATCCGTACAATCATATTCTATATTATATTTCTATTGGTCTGTTATTACCTTCCTATTTGCAGAAAAGGACTCTTCCAGAAAGTATACCACATTAGCACCCTATATTAACGAAATACTGTGATTTTCCCCCACTAATTATGATTAGATGGTAATTTCACCCGCCTTGCACAAAACAATATATGTTTTTATAAGTCACTTGCTTAAAATTTGGTCAATAGTGGCGGAAAATTAGGTTAAAGGGATACAATGATTTAAGAGTTGTGGGATTAAATGTAAAAAAAAAAAATATATATATATATATAGTCTAAGACTAAATGAGAAAACTATCTAATAGGCGTGGGACAAAAGTGAAAAAACTCTTTATTTTTCATTGTATAGTAGTTCCTTATTATGAAAACTTTCTTTTTATAAGTCAATTTTCTAATTCCGTTGAACTTCTGCGCACCCACAATGACTCCCACTCTATCATTATAAGTAAGTCTTAAGTGAGACTTATTATTTACTGAAACAAATGACTTGAGATTTGTTATGACATAACTTGTTCACTTGTTGAGTTGGATGATATGACTAATGACTTATACTTGAAATACAAATTTTTTTCTAAAATTATAAATCTTATACCAATAGTAAGATCGAAATGTTTAATAAAAAGAGACGTACAACAACCCTTATCATAAAGAATTTTATATAATACACAATTTTAATTAGGAATAATGTCACATAGCAAATAATTCACAAAATATATATGCACATCATATCAGTGGCCTCCTCAATAAATGCTTCTCCATTAATCTTTATTGTATGTTTCAATATAGATCAATATTCAACCATCAAATTCTCAAAGTTTTTCTTGTCAAAAATCATCGTGTATTATCGTAACGATACATGCATAGCATGAGTAATGCATTAGAAAAAAATATTAATTAAAATTACTTTTGAAAGAAACATGTATAACATGAATAGACGAATAATATAATGTGCTTGAAAACATTTAAAAACGGCTCGTAATAAAAATTAATTGATTAATATAGTGTAATTTAGAACTTGTTAAAATCATCGTTGATAACGATAATGACACGTGTATGCCATGAATAGTGGGTTAGAAAACACTAGATCGACTTGTGACAACATTTGTTTGTCTGTATGTACACTTATCAGAGTTTAGGTGTTTGTTGGGTTTAGGTATTCGTTGAATTATATTATATACAAATTATACATTAGGCCAACAACTTGGACTAAGAATATAATGAACCCAAGACATTGGTTAGTTACTCAACGGCAAATTAGTTCTTACCAACCAAACTGTACTTTATTTTGATCAACCAATCATAATAATAAAGTCGATTAATTTATAAATAGTATATGCGTATAAATTTGACCTAAATCTTATTTATTAATTGGTACATTCATCCATAATAATCGATACACATCTGAATGCATATTGTTAAATTGAAGATTCAGCATAATATATGCTCGCGTTGTATTGTATTTCTTGCAATTAAAAACCAATAGATTCACAAGCATGAAGACACAGACACATGGAACAGTGGACGAGGTGGTTGGCCGGCCGGCGCGGCGAAAGATGGGTGTCGGACGTCGTCGAATATTTTCAAAGTTTTGGATAAGGGTGAAGTGATTAGAGTAGGGGGATGGGATTATTACATGGAATTGAAGAAAGTAGAAACGATAAGAATCAAAATGAATAGAAGGTAGCATCTAGCTAGTATAGGTGCTTAGTTACGTTAGTCAAATGATGTGAAAACTTTGCCTCACCAAGTAAAAATGGTTAATCGAGATTTATTGGTTCAGTCAATTAACTAAATTTTCATCAAATTATGCATATCATACCAAGGTGCTCCGAAAAGAGTGAGCAAGTGATGAAATATGATTCTCGTACCACCAGAAAGTCACAAGTGTAATTCTTACTGACAATCTTTCGGTCAAGTCCATCCATTGTTGCAAAATTTGGCCTAGACGCTTGGTGACGCACCTAGGGGCCCAACTCGGTGGAGTCGACCTACTTTACTAATTTTTTTAAATTTTTATATTTTTTATATATAAATATAGTTAGTCACCTAAGCTCTAGGCGTTACTCTATTGTCTGACTAGCACCTAGCGCCTACTGCAACCATGAACCCATCACATAAAATTTTTGTATATAATTTATCACATCTATCTATCTTTGAGTAATAATTGCAAGCTTTATCTTCATCCAAAACAAAAGTCAATAAATCAAGGTCGCATATATACAGCTAAGCTAGCTAGTTAGCTTATATTAGGTAGAATTGAATTGGTGAATTGAATTGGGAGATGTATGATGTATATATGCATGTAACTATACTATGTTTTATACTTGACAATAACCTTAATTAATTAGCTTGTCGCTACTTGCAAACAATAACGTTTTTCTACTACTAAGTTGTCTACATTAACCCACTAACCCACTCCAACTTTTTCTCCTCGATAGGCCAATTGCCATGCATTCCCCATTCTCCCCTTCTCTCTCTTTCACAAAACAAGACATTTTCATTACTATACCACTAACTCGAAGAATTATTATTATTATTATTATTATTATTATTATTTTTAATCTCACCATTATTATCTATCTCCCAATTTAAGTTTGTGATTTTTAATTTTTTTCACATGACTATTAAATTCTTACTATATTTGATCATTTCAATCCATTTTTTAGCCAATCTTAGTTCATGTGAGTTATTTAAAATAATATTTTGACTACTTGAATTTGAGTAATATGTTGACTGTTAGGATTAAGTGCTTACCACTCTGTCAAAAGTTATAACTGTATTATTAGCGAAAACGCAATTTTATTTTCTTATATCACCATCGACCTCCGTCCAACATTGACTATATAGTTTAATATAGTGGTTTGGAGGTTAGTATTGATGAAAATCAAATAGGATTCATAAAAAATTTGATTAGAGTGATCAAATGTGAACAAAAACTGATATTCATGCATGCACTAAATGTTAAATAATTGATTGCTACAAATAAAATGTGAGAGAAATATAATAAGTGTAAGATCAAAAGTAAAATTCTTAATTTAAATTCAGCTCGTGTTACAATCATAAAATTTAATTTCTGCATAGGGAAAATCTAAATCAGGACTCTTAGCTTAGACATACCACATATATACAAGTTAATCATTTAGCTTTGTTATGTTGTTGTACATGTTAAGCATATTATATTAATAATAAATGTATAGTACCATCTAACTATCAATTGAGATTTTTAGTTTAGACATAACATATATTCAATTTGGTATTAGTCACAAACCTATAACATATAATAATGGTGTGGCACGAATACACGAGGAAATTAATTAGGTGCGCATCAAGAACGAAAACTCTTGTCAGGAAGTAAAGCTAATAGCGGTTGGATGTGGCCAAATAGAACTAGTATTCGTACAAATACACCTAATCGTACTAGTATATATTCCTTATCAAAGACGACATTAATAGCTAAAGTAGTCCAACTACACCTACAACGAACTTTTAAGACGTAGGTCACTATAGTTGTTTTAAAACATTTTTGCGTTCCACTAACCAATATAGACTTATGAAAAGGTAGACTTGTAACCATTATTAAAAGTGTACATCTCTTAATAACTCTCATTCTAGAGTCATATTTCAATCGCTTGGCCCTTCCTGGGAATTATTTTCAATTTACCTCCACGAACTTAGTTCAATGGTTCAGTAAGCAGTATTTAAAAAAAAAAATTAATATCCGAATCTCTGCGACAGCAAAAACATTGTATATTAATATTCTTGGAGCCCTTGGAGTTGAGAATTCAATCTTGTTGTTGTGGTAAGAGAATCATTCCCAATTTGATTGACTTATGAATTAATAAATGTTCAGGTGGCACCACGACCAGTTGTCTGGACTTTCAGTGGAAAAGACGCACAAAAACCGAGTGCAGAAGATAAAACCCCAATTAAGGCAGTGGAAATCTAGGTTATCCACCGGCACCGGGAGCCGGTGGCGCACACAACTAAACCCACACTCTCTGCAAAACCGTCCCACGCTAACATTCGCTGTCACCTTTCTACCTAGCTTAGCGTACGCCAGGCTGAATCTCACCGTCATATCGTACTTCAACTTCAGAAACAGAATTCAAGAATCAAGCAATCTTCAAGTACAGTACAATCCTCATTAAACCCTAGCCCGTACCAACCGAATCTGCCAAGGTTCTGAAACTCTCTTCTTCTTCTTCTCTTCCATACATATATTCTTGCTGACTTAATTAGACACTGTCTGCGTGTTTGATCTGTGGTTTTCTTGTGTCTGTGTTTTAGCTAACGAAGAAGATGACTCCATGAAGACGAAGGTGAGCTCTTCTTCTTCTTCTTCTTCTTCTTCAATTTGAGATTTTGCCAGTCTGGGTTTTTGTTTCGTGTCGCTCGAAACAAAGCTGGCGCCTGGTGGCAAATAAAGATAAGATCTTTTCCAAACTCCTGATAAGATCCGGTCAACAGCGGCGGGGATTGAGTGCGAATTGGGGAAGGGTTCCAAGAAAGAGAGATTTTTCTTGTCTACTTGTTGATTTTGGATGTTTCTTGAAATACCAAATTACCAGCTGCGAAGAAAAAAAAAATGAAAGCTTAGGGGTTTGTGTAATGGATGAGACGTGGTTGGTGCGTTCAAGAGACTAATTTGTCTGTTTCTAGATATCTGAGAGCTAATTTATTTGTTTCTTGAATTCGTATTATAGCGGTGATTGAATATATTACTAATTTATTTATGTGTTTCTTCATATTAGAGTGGCTGGCGATTGAATATATTATATTATCTTGGAGAGAGAAGGGTACAGTACAGTAGCGTTATCAGATTCTGAGGTGTAGAGATTAGATTTGTGGTGAAGGCTATGGCGAATAGGTGGTGGACTGGGACTCTAGCTATGAATCAAATGGAGATGAAAAGCCATCTTGGGTTGAGGAGGGAGCCGGAATTTATCGGCGGCGGCGGCGGCGGCGATGGCGGCGCCACCACGACCACGACGAACAGTAGTGGGAGTCAGAGTCAGAACCCTAGTGAGGGTGGGAACCATGGCGGCCAAGAAGAGGAGGTGAATAATAATGAGCAAGAAGGGGAGGAGCAGAACGGAGGTGGGTCGTCCGGTCGGCGGCCGCGGGGGAGGCCGCCGGGGTCGAAGAACAAGCCGAAGCCGCCGATTGTGGTGACGAAGGAGAGCCCCAACGCGCTAAGAAGCCACGTGATGGAGATCAGCAGCGGGAGCGACATCGTGGAGACCATCGCCGCCTTCGCGCAGCAGCGCCACCGCGGCGTCTCCGTCCTCAACGGCAGCGGCATCGTCACCAACGTGAACCTCCGCCAGCCCGCCGTGCCCGGCGGGGTCATTACGCTGGAAGGAAGATTCGAGATACTCTCCTTATCCGGCGCGTTCCTCCCGGCGCCTTCCCCGCCCGGAGCCTCGGGATTAACGGTGTACCTCGCCGGCGGACAGGGCCAAGTCGTGGGCGGGAATGTGGTGGGTTCTCTGGTGGCTTCAGGCCCGGTGATGGTCATCGCCGCCACCTTTACAAACGCAACCTACGAAAGATTGCCACTGCAGGAGGAAGAGCCGCCGCCGCCGCAGGCGGCGGCGGCGAATGAAGCTATGCAACTGCAGCCACCGTCGGAAGTGGAAGCCGCCGCCGCCGCAGATCCACCATCTTCTTCCTCCCTCCCTTTATACAACTTACCTCTCAACTTGTTCTCCAATGGCCATATGCCCCATGAAGCCTTCTGGTCTCCTCCGCCGCGCCCGCCGCCATCAAATTATTGAGCAAGAACGAGAAATAAATCAAAAAAAACCAGAAGGAGATATATAGGAGAAAGATCATATGAAACTTCACAATCTCTCATGATCTGCAACCTTTTCTTATTTGCCTTTTAATCTTTCTTCTTCCTCTATGTAAATCACTCTCTTGTTAGGTTTTCCCTTTCTGGGCTGTAACTTTGAAACTTGAATTAGAGCAATAAATCTCCTTTCCTTCTCCATCTATCTAAGCTACCAATTCATAATGTTCCTCGGTGATATATCAATTGTTGGTAATGATAGATTACATATTGTTGGTAATGATAGATTACATAGTCGAGCCTTGACAGTTTCAGTGTGGGGGTTACATTTAATATAAATCGTTGAGTTACTGTAATTTATCCTTCTTTTATTTTGTTAGGTTGGGGTTTGTGGGCAAGCAATATTGCATCATATTGTTCAAAATGGACAAAAATCTAAGGTTAATTAAAGGTAATGGTGTTTTGATCATTCTTACAATACTAAAAGTATATAGAAATTGACCAGTAGTGATAAAAGGCACAATCAAGAGCTTGATCAATCTACAAGTAAGGTATAGTATGATGCCATTTTTTATTGTATTGCTATTAATATAATGTTACTTCATCCCCTTGTAGGTAGCTAGCTTGCATGTGATTTTCATGGAGATAATATAATGATATAATAAGTTGAAAGGACTTACTGCTAACCATTGTGTGGATGCTTTTATATATATATATATATATATATATATATATATATATATATATATATATATATATATATATATTCATGCCATCTTTCACTATCAAATGTCTTGCTTCGACTAATTGGAATATTTGAATGGCTGAATTTCTATTTCAGCAAGTACAGGTATATTAAATATTGTACTGTTTGTCAAATGGTATGAGATGAAGTGTAGCTTTAGATTCAATCTCTTACAGCAGTATATTCTTTGTTTTTCTACTTTAAGTTGGGCCAAACAAATTTTTTTCGAGCTTAAGTCACTAGTTCAGTAAAAAATATTTGAGAGAAGTTACTAGTTTAGTAGGTAATATCTGAGAGAATAAATATATGATGATATATATAAAGAAAAAACAAGCAATAAATAAATAAATAAATAAATAAATATATATATATATATATATATATATATATTATATATATATATATCATGTGATTATAGGAGTTTAATTTGTGAACCTTGTTACACACAATTCGAGGGTAGGGCTCTCAGAGTTGGATTCCTTGTATAATTTGGTGTTAGATCTTGAAGTTAGACATACATGATTTACATTCTCATAGATCTTGAGGCTATGGGGTCCAGGAATTAATCTAGCCAAGCTGAGATACATAAGTTATCAAAAAAAAAGAAAAAAACAATTGTATTAGATTTGTCCTTTATGATTGGTTTACATTAAATGTATCAAGTGAAATCATTTTAACTTTCACAATTGATCCAAGTTCGTTCTTTTATTTAAGACTAATACACATAACCAATGATCCTTAACCTAGTAAGTTAGGTAGAATTCAATTCTACCGCAATATGTAAGAGTTTGAGTTTCATCGATAGTAATATTTGTATATGAGTTTATTTAGTTTCTCTTTATAAATGAAATATATGTAATTGGTAATAATCATTGTAATAATTGATTATTGTTGATCGTAAATGGTTCACCAACGTGTATGAATTTTTTCATTTTGAGAGTTGGATGTATATATAAAACATGCATATGCTTGAACATGTATGGTGCGGTGTTGAATCGGGTTGCGTCTTCTGTTGGAGTAATTTTACACACCCCTCGTTATATTTACCTTTTGAGACAACGCTATCTTATTGGACTTGTTGTATTTTAATTATTAATCATGAGATCATACATCAATAAAAAATAAAAATAAAAATTATCACATCAAAAATAAGCTTAAAATAATTTTTTTTTAAAAAACATTATTCCTTCTATTATTATTACACTATCCAATTTAGGTGTATTTCATTTGCAGTCTTTTTGGTGAGACAATGGTTATGGCCCCTCTTCATATGTTATTCTTGCACTGATCAAAGAATAGCAATTTTTTTTTTTTTAATGTATCTTTTTTATCTCGGAACCTTAACCTTTTCACTGAAGAGAATAGGATTCAATAGAATAATGAATTTGGTCCCAACCGACTTTTAGAATATATATGTATTTTGATTTCAGGGATCATATATACTCCAGTTTTTCAATAATTTTGTTTTATCTTGAAATTTGGTAGAATAAATTAACCATCTACTACGTACCAGAAAGTCAATAATTCACTTATGATAAGAGTTAAACTTATAATCTAATAGTTACTAAGTTAATAATTTGATCGATTTGACATTGATTGTCCCAATTTATATTTTATTCGATGCAAGGGTATCTTTTTCACGTGTCGTTTTGATTTTTTTTTTTTTTTTGTTAAGTACTACTGACTTTATTACAATGTAGTATCTATTCATATGTATTTTTTTAACCTATTGAAGCACAAAGTTTCCCGTCCTCCCACTGTAGTTCAAATTCTGACCTCCTATTTGAGAAAGTCACAAATATACCGTTTGACCATAATGTCTTTGTGGTTTGGATATTTTAAACTTTTAGCACTGCAATATGAGTAGTTATTCTGTGCATCCGTATGCACCATGCATGGTGCATACGGATCCAAAAACGACGTTGTTTTATTAAAAATGCGTGTTTCTCCTTAAAAAAAAAAATCAGGTTCGATTCCCAGCAACAACATTATGTTGTTCATTCATTTTGGAATTTTAGTTCATAGATTATGGAATTTTAGTTCATTGATTCTGGAATTATAGTTCATCGATTATGAAATTGTAGTTCATCGATTCTGAAATTTTAGTTCATAGATTTTGGAATTTTAGTTCATTCATTCTGAAATTTTTAGTTCATAAATTAGATTTTGGAATTTTAGTTCATAAATTCTGGAATTATAATTCATCGATTCTGGAATTATAGTTCATCGATTCTGGAATTTTAGTTCATATGTTGTTGCTGGGAATCGAACCTAAATTTTTTTATTTTTTTTAAGGGTAGACGCGCGTTTTTTAATAAAACGACGTCATTTTTACATCCGTATGCACCATGCATGGTGCATACGGATGCACATCATAATTTGCCCTGCAATATTGACACTGCCCAGGGCCCACTATTCCTTTTCCGCCTTACCAACTTAGGAGGAAAATTATGCCCCGGACCCAAAACGATGTCGTTTTTCAAAAAAAATGTGTCATTTAGTTAAAAAAAAAAAAACCGCGCGTGTTTTGCCATTAACGACGTTATTTTTTTTTATTTTTTTTTGGATTATGAATGTACAGTTATGCCGTTATGAATGTACAATTATGCAATTATGAAATTATGAACACAGAGCTCTAACATTATAAACTTACAATTATGAACATATAGTGATAAAATTATGACCATGGACCTTTAAAATTGTGAATATAGAGCTTTGAAGATTATGAATGTACAATTATGGAGTTATGAATGTACAGTTATAGAGTTATGAATCTACAGTTATGGAGTTATGAATCTACAGTTATGAGATTATGAATCTACAGTTATTGAATTATGAATGTACAATTATTGATCGAATTATGAACAAAGAGCTCTGACATTATGAACTTACAATTATGAACATATAGTGATAAAATTATGAACACAGAGCTCTAAAATTGTGAACATAGAGCTTCGAAAATTATGTATGTACAATTATAGAGTTATGAATGTACAGTTATAGAGTTATGAACGTACAGTTATGGAGTTATGAATGTACAGTTATTAACATATAGTAATAAAATTATGAACATATATATACTCCTATAACGAAACGGTCTGAAATTAAAAAAAAAAAAAAAAGGAGATAACAGTGCCTAACGGCATTGTTATCTGTGTACAGCATGCTGGACACGGATCCATAGCATAACGATTGAACTTAGGAGATATGGGTGCAACCTATTTAGATGGAATAAACTCTATTTTAATCATGTATAAAATCTTCACAATTTATGAAATATATTAAAAAGTGATTAACCCAATAGTTTAATAATTGGTAAGCAAATTTCTGTGTTAAATTTTATTTTCTCACCTCTTTTAAAGTTAAGTATAAAATCAATGTTTTTTCCCATAATTCGGAAAATAGTTCATTTTGAATAATAAAATCCATATCATATATTTTACAAAATGGGAAAATCTCCAAGATATTCAACAACTCAACACGTTAAGATTTCTTTTAAAAATCTATTAGGCCGGTGGCAGCTGAAATTCTGTTTTTCTTCCTTTTTTAAAAAAAATAATTTTTAAATGGGAAAATGGCATTTTTCCCCCTATGTTATATACTTATAGCACTTTTTTCCCCTCAATTATTTAAGTGGCTTTTTTTTTCCCTGAAATGTTAAATGGACATATTTATCCTTAAAATAAATATTTCATTTATTTTTATTCTCCAATAAATTATTACTATAATTTGGTTCAAACCAGATACTATAGTAACCAAACCAAAATATTTCAATTACAATTTATAATCAAAACGCGATATTTAGAGTTTATTAAAATCGCGAACTGGAATGGCCGGTTCATGTTCCGAACTGAAAAAATAAAATACATTTATTGTTGAATTTAAACTATTTTAAAATAAAAAATAAAATTTTAAAATAAAGACGGTTCAAAATCGCGAACGGGATCCGGAACCACCGCGGGGCAGGGAAGGGATATAACTCAGCGGTAGAGTGTCACCTTGACGTGGTGGAAGTCATCAGTTCGAGCCTGATTATCCCTAAGTCCAATGTGAGTTTTTCTAGTTGGATTTTCCCCCCCGCTGTGATTCAATGAGAATGGATAAGAGGCTCGTGGGATTGACGTGAGGGATCCAGTTCTTTTTTATTCTTAAATTTAATAAATTGAAATCCAAATATTGGGTTCTAGATCTGAATCATAACTGAAAATTTTTAATTCGATTGCTATAGTGTCTGGTTCAGTTCGAACCGAACCGTGGTAATCGCTACATATACGCAATAATTTGTTGGAGAAGTAAAATAAATAAAATGTTTTACTTTAAGGGTAGAAATGTCAATTTAATATATTAGGGGGGAAAACCACCACTTTTAAAATAATTGAAGCCGCTAATGTGCTTACATAAATAATTGAAGGAGAAAAAGTGCTATAAGTATATAACATAGGGGGAAAAAGTGCCATTTTCCCTTTTTAAATTATTTTTTTAATAATTAAATTGGTAACTTGTTAGCGACCTGCAAAAAAAATTAATTGAACAAATTTAGCAAGTAAATATGATTTATTAGACAATAGTAGATGTGTCTATTTGTCACTTTTCTCTAATATAAAAGATACAGTACTTCCAATTTTTGCGGACCATGCATAAAAATACTAGTTATATATATATAGTGTGTGTGGATTTTAAAAAAAAAAAATAAAAATACGGAGTAGAAAAAAAGAAAAACCTGAGTAGGGTTTTTCGTCTGTCATCTTTCTCTTGAACAGTACTGTGATCTTTCATACTTTTCCCGGTTGAAATCTCCTCTTCGGTCGCCCAAAGGTTTCTCCTTCTCTTCCATCACCTCTGCCTCGTACTAAGGTTAGTTCATATATTTGTTCTTTTCTTCTTCTTTTTGTGGTGGTTGAAGAAGCTAGGGAACTGGCATGCTAATCTCACACTAATTTTCCAATTAATTTCTTGATAATTTTTGCTTAATGGATTATATCCGCGGCTTCCTGCTGACCTTTATGTAATAAAGGTTCGAGACTACCTGTGCATTTGGATGATTTGATGGTTATTTATAAATAAGAACTGGGAAATATTGTTCTGTTTGTTTGTTATTTCACTTCCCCAGTTGGGTTCTTTGTTTATCTCGTTGAGTTACTGAATCAGCATATAGAATATAGTGAATATATATGTGGGGATAATCCAAGATCGTTTCTATTTGAAGTTAATGGTCATTTGATTCTTATCTGGAGTGTTTTTTTTTTTCTGGCTCTGTTTGGTCTGTTGAGCTAAAATTTTGCAGTTATTTATTTATTTTTGATATTTTTTTTTCTAGTAGAGGTTATGGCTATGGCTGCTTGGGACATTGCTGCAGCAGAGTTCTTACAGGTACGGTCACTTTAGTTTTCAAATTTGTTTGTTAATCTATTAGGCTTAAGGTGGGGACTTATTGAATTTGGCTTCCATTTATTTAATTGCAGGGTGCAAATAGACAGAAGCTAGCTTTACCCAAACATTCAGTTAGGCAGACTGATCGTTTGCTTTGGGGTGTACTTGCACGAGGAAGTCCCTTCAAGTTTTCTAACAAGAATGTTAGATTACAATCCCGTTTTCCTGAAAGGATCAATGCAGTGGTCTCAGGGAATGTAAGCACCTCTCTGAGTGAGGAGCAAAGCAAGGTTCAACAACCTCCTGGAGAAGTTGTACATCTGTATCGTGTTCCATTGCTTCAAGATAGTGCTACTGCAGAACTTCTCAAGTTGGTTCAAAAGAAAATCTCAAACAAAATAATCGACTTGAAAACGGAGCAGTGTTTCAATATTGGGTTGACCTCAGATCTTTCTAGTGAGAAGCATTCAGTGCTTAAGTGGGTTATAGGAGAGACATATGAGCCTGAGAAGTTGGGAACAGAGAGTTTTCTGGATAGAGATAGGATGCAAAATTCAAATGCAGTGATTGTGGAAGTTGGTCCACGGTTATCTTTCACTACAGCTTGGTCTGCTAATGCAGTTTCAATTTGTAAAGCATGCGGGTTGACAGAGATAAGTAGAATGGAGCGCTCAAGGAGGTATCTATTATATGTTGAGCCCGGAAATGGTCCACTACCTGATAGTCAAATCAATGAGTTTGCTGCAATGGTTCATGATCGGATGACTGAGTGTGTTTACCCTGAGAAGCTTAGTTCTTTTGAGACGAGTGTTGTACCAGAGAAGGTTTGGAGCATACCAGTCCTGGAGAAGGGCCGCAAGGCATTGGAGGAAATAAATGATGAAATGGGATTTGCCTTTGATGAACAAGATTTACAGTATTATACTAAGCTTTTCAGGGATGATATTAAGCGGAACCCTACAAATGTTGAGTTGTTTGACATTGCACAGTCTAATAGTGAACACAGCAGACACTGGTTCTTTACTGGGAAACTTGTAATTGATGGTCAGCCTGTTAGTAAAACTCTCATGCAGATTGTTAAAAGCACTTTGGTGGCAAATCCAAACAATTCTGTCATTGGATTCAAGGACAACTCTAGTGCCATCAAGGGATTTTTGGTGAATCAGTTGCGACCTGTTCAGCCTGGTTCCACGTGCCCCTTGAGCACAAGTTCTCATGATCTTGATATCTTATTTACAGCTGAAACTCACAACTTTCCATGTGCAGTGGCGCCATATCCTGGTGCAGAGACAGGGGCAGGAGGCCGTATCAGGGATACCCATGCTACTGGAAGGGGTTCATTTGTTGTTGCAGCTACAGCTGGCTATTGTGTTGGAAATCTTAATATTGAAGGGTCATATGCTCCGTGGGAAGATCCTTCCTTCCAATACCCTGCAAACTTGGCTTCACCATTGCAAATCTTGATTGATGCCAGCAATGGAGCATCTGATTATGGGAATAAGTTTGGCGAGCCCTTGATTCAGGGTTATACAAGGACTTTTGGGATGAGACTTCCAAGTGGGGAGAGGAGAGAATGGTTGAAGCCTATCATGTTTAGTGCAGGTATTGGGCAAATCGATCACATTCATATCACAAAGGGAGAGCCTGAGATTGGAATGTTGGTTGTTAAAATTGGAGGTCCTGCATATCGCATAGGAATGGGAGGTGGTGCTGCATCCAGCATGGTTAGTGGCCAAAATGATGCTAATCTTGACTTCAATGCAGTACAACGTGGAGATGCAGAGATGGCACAGAAATTGTATCGAGTTGTTCGTGCTTGTGTAGAAATGGGAAAAGATAACCCAATCATCAGCATTCATGATCAGGGTGCCGGTGGAAACTGCAACGTTGTCAAGGAGATTATACATCCACAAGGTGCTAAGATTGATATAAGGGCAGTTGTAGTTGGTGACCACACAATGTCTGTTCTTGAGATATGGGGTGCTGAATATCAAGAGCAAGATGCAATATTAATCAAGCCTGAAAGTGGTAGTCTTTTGCAGGCAATCTGTAAAAGGGAGAGACTCTCCATGGCTGTTATTGGCACAATTAATGGCGAGGGGCGTATTACCTTGGTGGACAGTTTAGCTATTGAACAATGCCGATCAAATGGACTTCCTCCTCCTCCACCGGCAGTCGATCTTGAACTTGAGAAAGTTCTTGGGGATATGCCTCAAAAAACTTTTGAATCTCATCGTGTAAATAATGTGCTAAAGCCACTTGATATTGCTCCTGGGACAACAGTTATGGAGGCTCTGAATAGGGTACTGAGGCTTCCTTCTGTCGCTTCAAAAAGGTTCCTGACTACTAAAGTTGACAGGTGTGTTACAGGTCTTGTGGCACAGCAGCAAACTGTGGGTCCATTGCAAATTACGCTCTCTGATGTTGCTGTTATTGCTCAAACTTACACAGACTTTACTGGTGGTGCTTGCTCAATTGGAGAGCAGCCCATTAAAGGCCTTTTAAATCCGAAAGCAATGGCGCGACTGGCTGTTGGAGAAGCACTCACAAATCTTGTTTGGGCAAAAGTTACCTCTCTTTCTGATGTCAAAGCTAGTGGGAATTGGATGTATGCTGCAAAGCTAGATGGGGAAGGAGCTGCGATGTATGATGCTGCCATTGCTCTTTCAGAATCAATGATTGAACTTGGCATTGCAATTGATGGGGGGAAGGATAGCCTTTCCATGGCGGCCCGCGCTTCAGGGGAGGTCGTCAAGGCTCCTGGGAACTTGGTCATCAGTACATATGTAACTTGTTCCGATATAACAAAAACAGTCACACCAGATTTGAAGCTTGGAGATGATGGTATACTGCTCCACATTGACTTGGCAAAGGGAAAAAGGCGTCTTGGTGGATCTGCTCTTGCCCAGGTTTGTGACCTATGGAATCTAAAAGTGCACTCATTTTCTAATTGATAATTGATTTGAAACATGAAAAATTAAATAATATATCTACTCCATGTATTTGCACTTGTTACATCAAACTCTATTTCTTCGATATTGTAGTGAATATAAATTTTATGAGGGAAAAAAAATCCAATGACCATAATGAAAGAAATCTTGTTTTTGATTAATTTGTTAATTCCACAGTTGGTTTTAATTCAAATTAATGCTGAACTGTTATTGTCCAGGCTTTTTATCAAATTGGCGATGAGTGTCCTGATCTTGAGGACGTTTCTTACCTTAAAACAGTTTTCAATGAGGTTCAGAATCTCCTTTCCGATGATCTTATTTCTGCTGGTCATGATATCAGCGATGGAGGTCTTCTTGTTGGAATTCTTGAAATGGCTTTTGCTGGGAATTGTGGTATTTGCTTGGATTTGACTTCTAAAGAGAGTAGCATATTCCATACACTTTTTGCAGAAGAGCTTGGTGTTATCATTGAGGTTAATAAGAATAACTTGGATGTAGTTATGTCAAAGCTTCAAAGCGGTGGTGTTTCTGCTGAAGTCATTGGAAAGGTAACTGCCTCTCCACAGGTAGAATTGAGGATTGATGGAACTGCTTATTTGAATGAGAAAACTTCTGTGCTTCGTGACATCTGGGAAGAAACCAGCTTTAAACTGGAAAAGTTCCAGAGATTGGCCTCATGTGTGGAGTTAGAAAAACAAGGGTTAAAGAGTCGACATGAGCCTTTATGGAAGTTGTCCTTCACACCGAACTTTACGGATCAGAAATATATGACTGCCACTTCAAAACCAAAGGTTGCTGTGATTCGGGAGGAAGGCAGCAATGGAGACAGAGAAATGTCTGCTGCTTTCTATGCTGCAGGATTTGAACCATGGGATGTTGCAATGTCAGACCTTCTGAATGGAGTCGTCTCTTTGAACGACTTCCGAGGGATTGTGTTTGTTGGTGGGTTTAGCTACGCCGATGTGCTTGATTCTGCAAAGGGTTGGGCAGCTTCCATACGCTTTAACCAGCCTCTATTGAATCAATTTCAGGAATTCTATAACCGTCCCGACACTTTCAGCCTTGGGGTTTGCAATGGTTGCCAACTCATGGCTCTACTGGGTTGGGTACCAGGGCCTCAGATTGGAGGTGTTCTTGGTAAAGGTGGAGACCCATCACAGCCAAGATTTGTACACAACGAGTCTGGACGATTTGAGTGCCGCTTCACAAGTGTGACAATACAAGAATCACCATCAATAATGTTTAAAGGAATGGAGGGTAGTACACTGGGTGTCTGGGCTGCCCATGGTGAGGGAAGAGCTTATTTCCCTGATAATAGTTTCCTGAATGATATTCTTGGTTCAAAATTGGCTCCAGTGAAATACTGTGATGATGATGGTACACCCACAGAAGTTTATCCTTTCAATCTGAATGGCTCTCCCCTTGGCGTGGCAGCAATTTGTTCCCCAGATGGGAGGCACCTTGCTATGATGCCTCACCCAGAGCGTTGCTTCTTGATGTGGCAGTTCCCGTGGTATCCGAAGCATTGGGATGTGGAAAAGAAGGGCCCTAGTCCATGGTTGCGTATGTTCCAAAATGCTCGAGAGTGGTGCTCATGAGGTATCTTTAACTATCATTCAATTACTCAGTTTGCAGCCACTATTATGATTAACTACTAAATATGTGTCTTAATAACTCTGGTTTGCATGTGCAGGTCTTTTGCTGAATGAGAAGCTTAATTTTCTGTTTTGATAAGCAAGTCAAAAAAAAAAATCATGCTGAAAAGCATGCGTCCAAAGATGAGAAAGAGGCAGTATCCCTCAGTTCGCCAAAATAAATCCCTTTTTTTAACAGAAGTTTATAACCCCTTGAATTTAATTTTCAAACCTCACTATGCTATGAAAGCAAGGCTGCAAATTTGGATCTCTGTAATTTATCTGCTGATACCGAACAGGTAGCAGATGGATCTTCCTGTGAAATAAAACTCGAGCTAGCTTAGTTTTGATATTTTGTTCCATTTATGTAATACTATGAATATTCAACATGGATTCTGAAGTTGGCATCTCAGGCTAGTTGGAATTCTTTGGACTTGCAGCTTTTTTCCAGTCCTTAATGTCCTTTGAATTTCAGTACTTGACTATTTTCCCTTGGGGGTGCATAGAACCTTAACCAAATTTGATGAATGGAAACTTTCTTGGGCTTTTTAAGTTTGTGCTTATTATAATTTATTACTCCGTATAAGTTTATGTTTCATACACGCACACACATATATATGGAGAAATTGTATAATGTAGAATAATAAGAATACTGACAGAGAAAAAGGACAGTTACTAATGGATTTCTTAGAGTTTCAGAAAGTCATCAGAGGCTGAAGTCTGTTGTTTTGGTATCGATAAGTTGGCATGGATAGAGTGATTATTCAGAATCTAACCAGGATGCATATTCAATGAAAACATGAGTATTTACATTCTACATGAAACTGCTAAAATGCACTCCATATCAGATGGCTATGGTTCTAGCTTTAACTTTCTTCAGTGATAAATGTTGCCATTGTCCATAAGTTGATACTGCAAATAGATGTTTGGGTCGATTGTTTCATTAAAGATATCTGAGATGTCTGAATCAGAGAAAGGGAAGAAAATCTCGTCCTCCCATCCGTTTATAGGTGGGTTCTGCATATTCATTTGACTGTAAGGGGTTGAATTTGCATATGAATCTTCCAAGAATGGTACTGTCACATTATGATTCATATTTATGCTCATATTGTTATACTCAGAAAAGAACAGTAACTCATCATTCACCATGCATTGTTGTTCAGGTCCTTCACATGCACAGTAAGCCATCTGCTTCTCAATGTTCTCGATCTCCTCCATGAGGCTGGCCACCTGCAAGGTAAGTTTTATGTTACGTTTGATAAGAAGCTGTCAATAGCTTATGAGAGTAATTATGCATGATATGAAACTGAAACCTGTTGCTCGAGTGCAAATATTTGAGCCACGCAGCCATATATGGGATCTTGCATCCGAGCCATGGCTTCATATGATATACTTATGGCTGCTTCACTCCGGCTGTCCACTGGGAGGTGCAGCAACAGTTTTGAGACGTTGCTCGCTCCAAACACCTTGTGGACAGCCGCAAAATGGCTTGCTGCCTGGTCGTAAAAGAAGTAAGGTGCGAAAACACACTCATTAGAGCACCTTCTTCTCAAGAACTTGCATGCTCCACATGATGACCCAAGACCTGTCATTTTTTCAAAAGCCCTTTTAGCTTTAGCTAGTACTGTTAATGTTGGCCTTTCTGGTGTGAGAAAATCCAACTTGAAATCCCTAGCTTTATAGTCACCTCCCCAGAAGAGTCATGTTATTTTAGTCAAGTTGAAGGGCCATTCCTTAACTTTACTTGAAAAGTAAATTCTTTTAGGTCTCCTTTGTGGCCAGCAATTTCATGCACAATTTGAGTAACCTTTCCTTATTTGTTGTTTGCATCTTAAAGAACTTTTCTAGTAACATTACTATTTGATGGTGAACCTAATCATCATCTTCATTGTTGGGCTCAAAACAGTTATGATAAAATTTCCCCATCTTTACTGTATTTTGATGTTATCATCATCATCATCATTTAGTCAAGTTCAATAACTCCCCTCTTTGCCCTTTAATATCTAGCAATTATGAAAGCCTTCATCATTTTGGTCTCAAGAACATAATGATGGAAACAACAAATTGGCTAGAAATCTTTTAGGAACAGAAAAAAGTTTCTGTTCAAATGATCAAAAAAAAATTTGTAAAATAGTGTGGGTATAATAATATGTGCAGTCTGTTACAATTATGCACATGCTCTTTAGGTCAACTTCAAAGTGAGAGCATCATTTGGAACAGTTACTCCTTTTAGGCTATTAGATATAATTAGTTTAATTAGTAGGCTGCATGACTCATTATTATCTCCCCTTTCTCTGCTCTCCACATGCCATTTCTCCATTGTTCCATATTATTAAACCAAAACTTTTCTCAATAATGGGTTGGTGGCTGTTGCCACTCTCTCTCTCATCAAGCTTTTTGTTGGTCTTTGGGATAGGCCAGCCGATTCGCCTACAGGTGTGCACCAATCGTCTTGTCTCTTCTGTTGGTGATGCATTCCTGGCCTTAACCGGTCTGGTCATGTCACCCGTACACCAGTCACCCTAATCTATCTATACAAGGTTCGGTACCCGAACAGTAGTCATGTCTATCTCGAGTTCTCGACCAAAGTAACTATAGAAACAGGTGTCAGTGCATGAACTATGTACTATTCATCATGAAATAATGGCATAATGCTTCCTTCCCTAGTTCCCTGGTAAAAAGATGGGAGACAAAATGCCATTTTCCCCAACTTTCCATGTTGTCAAATGGACAAAAGCCTATTTGTTTTATCCTTGAAATGCATGCATGGAGAGAAGGATGTGACTGTCATGCAAAGTTGGGTTTGCACTTTCGAGTTTAACGATGAAAGTGTCCATCTCCATCATACTCATGCCATGCATTCTTTTTGTTCCATAATAGGCGGCTATGGTAGACTGCCATAGCTTGTATCTATATATAGATTATAGACTATAATGCCTATATGCTCTTCCAGGATATGTATGTGCAGCAATATGAACAGTTGAAACTGCCTTTTTGGTTTTGTTTGTTTGCTGCGTTTTGGTGGGATTGATGAAGAGCAATAATTGTTTAATTGGTATTATTGGTTAATGATAATCAACTTTCCAGCTTGGTTGAAAAGACTCTACATTAGGGATTTACGACGTAATTTGGTGGTAAATTTATCTCTTTTTCAGCTTGTGTTCACATCCATTTCTCCTATGATATGATGCACCAAGAAAAATTTAGTTTTGATGGTTGAATGCATTATACAAATGACATGTTGATAAGGAATATTTTCCGGGTGTACCGTCCCTTTATGTTTCGTGTGTTAGCTCGGTATTTGACCGTTTTATCATGGGGAATAATTTCTGAGCATCGTCGACTTCGATCAGGACATACCGAGCCGACCTAAATAAAACATGCTGAGCAGCGTAGGGTCTGCACTGTACCTATTCACCTTTCAGATTCGCCCTGACCATCTTAGGTTGGGAAGAGTCACCTGACCCTCGATCTCTACTTGAGGCCTTAGCGATGTTCCTCGGCCTGAACCCAATAGCCGCAAGAATGAGGAGGTCAGGAATTTCAGAACACGTGGATGAATCAGTGTAACCTTCGGCTTGCTCGTGTACATGCGCCCCACGTGTCACACATGCCGGGAGGCCAGCATGTGTTCCCTTTCACCCCCTATAAATACAACATTAAATGTTTGTAGCGGAATATTTTAGGCATTTTTCATCTACCACAATACAACTCGGGATTCTCTGACCTTACGTCATCTCCTGGACTCAAGACTTAAACCAACAAGTAGTCTAGAAGAAGACATGTATCCGGTCCGACTCCAATACTTGTATGTATTCGTGGGAACCATCATATTTACCACATCACTTATAGTGCAAATAGAATGAACTTTACTCGTTGTAAGTAAAGTTAAACTGTACTATTCATTCTACTTAGAGAGCTTATTCAATCGTTTTTCTAACTATATATTCAAGTTACAAGTTGAGATGAGTTCAAGTTAATGAAAGTTTGACTCAAATTCAAAGAACAAGAGACTAGTTGAGCTCGAGCTCTGAATTTTCAATGTAATCGAGTTGAGTTTTGAACTTAAATTTACCCAATTGTATATTTTATTGATTTTAATTTTAATTGTAACAATTCTTTTTTAACCTAAATTCCTGCTAAGGATAATGGGCTTAGTTATTCTTTAATGGTCCCTTTTCAGAATGAATTAGCCAAAACCCAACCTCCCAATCCTTCTAAAAAAACCAATGATCTGCTCATGAAAGTATTGGGCCATTTTTCTTGTTTTGCTCATCAAGTTTTAAATTTACATAAAGATTTCAAGAATGTCACTTTGGCAAGTTTTAAGGATCCAATGTTCGGTTCTTTTCTTAATCACAATTAAAAATTATCCTCGATTAATGCTAAAGTTGCTTTGCAAAACGAGAACCCACCACCCACTCTACAAAGTTTGTTCCCATCATTATGCCAGGGTGGTGGACAATGTGGGACTTAATTAAACTGTTTACAACAATTGGTTTCAGATAAAATTTAAACTCTAAATGATTTTTCGTCATGTTGATAAAATTTAGACTCTTTTACGGTAACTTTCTATTTTGTGTATAAAATTTAGCTTGGGAGGAATGTCGAGTTCAAAATTCAGAACTCTTTAATATGATGCACAATGTTTCAAGTTTAAATTTTCATAAAGTTATTTGAACTGGTCAACTAGACTAATTTGATGACCTAAACTGGTTTATCAAATTACATTGTGATCATTCACTGCTAAGGTCACAAGACAGACTTCATTCAGAACGTACATTTGAGTAATGGTTGCGGAGTAGTTAATCAAAAGAGTCAAAAAGTACAAAAAATGAAGAAAAGGAAGAAATTAGTTGGATAGTGGCAACTTTTGAGCCCACGATTATAGGGTAATGTTTACAGTTTAAAAGAAGAATTTCTTTAGAGCTGAAAATGTGGCCTGGAAAAGTGGAAGCACGACGACGAAACTGTTCCCCAAGAACTTAATTACCCTCTTCGATCTCTTTAAAGTTGACGCCATTTTTTTTCCTTCTCTTTCACCTCTGCATTTCCAAGTTTTAAGCCCTCAGAGCTGATCAGCAAAGGAAGAAAACATGCATGCTCCTCCAGTTCCTTCGCTCTTGATCATCCTCATTTTCTTGATTTCTTTCTGCGCCGCCGCAGATGGAACTCAACTCATAGTCGTGAACAATTGCAGAGAAACCATATGGCCCGGAATCCTCGGCAACGCCGGCCACGACACCCCCAGCGACGGCGGCTTCCGCCTCACCTTCGGCCAACAGGTGATCCTTAATCTCCCCGAGAGATGGTCGGGGAGAATCTGGGCGAGACAGGGCTGCTGCTTCGACGGAGACGGCAAAGGGTCGTGCCAGACCGGAGACTGCGCCGGCCAGCTCCACTGTGCCGGCGCCGGCGGAGCTCCCCCGGCGACGCTCGTGGAGATGACTCTAGGAACCTCGACAAACGCTAAGCATTACTACGATGTCAGCTTGGTTGACGGGTTTAACGTCCCGGTGTCCATGATTCCGGTGGGCGTCGGCGTCGGCTGCGGCGTGGCGGCGTGTGAGGAAGATTTGAACGCTTGTTGTCCCAAGAATCTGGCGGTTATTTGTCAGGGAAAGGTGGTGGGCTGCAAAAGTGCGTGTTTAGCCACTAAGGATCCTAAGAATTGCTGCACAGGAGAATTTGCAGAGAGGAAGAGCTGTAAACCTTCCACCATTTCTCATCTGTTTAAGGTCATTTGTCCCAGGGCTTATAGCTATCCTTATGATGAGTCCACCGGACTCAAGAGCTGCCGGGCGCCCCGCTACGTCATCACTTTCTGCCCTCCAAATTGATCGATGTATAGTGGTGGAGATATCGTTGAATGTTGTACAATAAAAAACAAATGATTGATGTGCAGTGGTGGTGGCTTTTTGGGGGTTTTTTGTGTTTTCTTGTTTGAGTATATGATCAATGTAGTTTATGTATCCTGGTGTTGAGCATATAGTTATTAATGTGCAATCCAACTATTAGCTTAAGCTACTACGGTCCACGTGTTGCTTGGAATCCACCGAACTTTTAGTTGAGATGGAGTACATGTTTCAATTCCTGGGACCAATCCTCAAATAATTTTTAACGTTCCAATTCTGGTTATTATGGTGATTATGATGGGGAGAGTGGTGTAAGTGAACAGAGTTTGTGTTGTTTAATAATGTTCACAAAAATCGTCGTTTTGTTGTTACTCTTGGACTTGTATTTGTTTGTTTAGCGCGTTCATGAAAAAAGTTGCTTGGTTGTTCATGAACACAATTAATTGACCAAACAAACGAACATGTTTACAAACATTAACAAACAAATACGAACACGGACATGATTTTCAAAAACCCTAACAAATAAACACTCACACTCTAAAATCTTAACAAAAGAATGAACACAAACAAGCTCTATTCATTCATGTTTGGTTCCCTAGATGGGGATTATGAGTAGAAGATTGAATTCTGGCCGGAAGTTTAGTTTAGTTTAGTTTGATGATTTTAAGGTTAACTAACATGTATAACTAAGATGGATGAGATTATTTACTGGTTCCAAAAAGGTCAAACAAGGAACCGGTTGGCATATATCGCCAGCACATGCTGCTGGGAAGATGAGACATGGGAGCATTAATAATCTAAGATGGAACAAATGGCAAAAGTTTTGTCAAGTTCTGAGGAATCTCTTATCATAGGAAAGGGGAAGATCCATTTCTGGAGGTATAAATATAATGTATATTTGCCTGCAAATGGGGGAAGAATTAGAAGATTGGGTGTTACCTGCAGGCCAGGATGATGGAGGAGGAGAAACCGACAACCGGCTGGGGAAAATCATTGGCTGTACCTAGTGTGCAGGAGATTGTTAGGAATGATGGGAAAGATGTTCCTGAAAGATACATTCAGAATGAAGAGGATAGGCCAAAAGCTTCTGAAATCTCTCTGTTATCATCTCAAATTCCAATCATAAATCTCTCATTGCTTGATAATGGGGATGAAGATGAGCTGAGAAAGCTGGATTTTGCTTCCAAGGAATGGGGTTTCTTTCAGGTATGCTCTCGATCGCCTCCCTTTCTTGTTTCCCGCTACTTACCAACTGTCCCAAACTGCTGGGTTACACTCGTTTTCACGAAAGATGGAACCTTGCAGGTGATAGATCACGGCGTGAGGGACGAAGTGCTGCAAAATATGAAGGCAGGTGTAGCATCATTCTTTGAACTCCCTGTGGAAGATAAAAAGAAGTATGCAATGGCAGAAAATGATTTGCAGGGATATGGACAAGGCTATGTAATGTCTGACCACCAAAAACTTGACTGGAATGACTTGATGTTCTTGGTGACACTGCCACCAAAATACAGGAATATCAAGTACTGGCCATCCACATTAGCAGGCTTCAAGTATGTACTTAAAAATTTCTGCAATATTGATTGATATTCTTTCATGCTTAATCTTCATGATTTGATTCCTTTTATTGGGTGTCGATAGAAACCCGCAACCAGTAAGGGTGTGCACAGGGTAAATCCTGTCTTGTATCCCTACCCAACAGGTAAACCAGCCTAGCTTACCCATAGTTGACTGACTCAAACCAAGAAGGCCAATAAGCCGCCTACAGTCACTAAGGGTAAACTCTGCCTTGTGGCCCTAGCTGGCAAAGGATCACAAGGAGGTAAACCAGTCTAGGTTACCCATAGCTGACTGGCTCAAATCAAGAAGGCCAATAAGCCGCTCCTACTGGGAGTCGAATTGGCTTATTACCAAGTCAACAGTCTGACTAACTGCCTGATTTGATGTATTTGTGCTCAGGGAAGCTGTTGAGCAGTATGCTATAGATATAGAAATGGTGACTACTAAGATCTTAGCCAATTTGTCAGTGTTAATGGGCATGGAAAAGCACAGTCTAAGAGAGATGCATGGGGAGATGAAACAAGGCATTAGAATGAACTACTATCCACCTTGTGCTAAGTCTGATCTGGTTCTTGGAGTCAGTCCTCATTCTGACAGCAGCTCCATTACTCTACTTCTGCAAGAAGACGAGATCGCAGGCCTGCAAATCAGGCACAAACAATCATGGGTTCCCATAAATCCTATCCCAAATGCAATCGTCGTTAACCTAGGCGACGTTATGGAAGTAAGCCTAGCTTCCCACTTATATAAATTTCTTGAATAGTAAGCGGGCTACTAATGCAATTGTAAGCAACTAAACGGTGATATTGGTTTCTCGGTTTTGCAGGCTTGGAGCAATGGGGTATACAAAAGCATTGAACACAGAGCTGTTACAAACCAGAAAAAGGCTAGAATCTCTGTTGCAACATTTGTAATCCCAGAAGACCAGGTGGATATTGAGCCAGTAGAAACAATGGTGGATGATTGCCTTCTTCCAAGAAAGTACAAAAGTGTGAAGTATGTCGATTTTCTTAGGTATTCCCTGGCAAGGAAAATGGATGGAAAATCACACACTGATTATCTGAAACTATAGAGAGCAAGAAGTAGGTTTTGAAGTTGATTTTCTCATCAATATGTTACAATCTTGTCAGAAATCAAACTTCTGATACAATGTTATGCCTGTTGTTGTTAATAAAGTTTCGTTTACGAGTTGGTATATGTAGCAAACAAGAAACTACTGAAACAAAACTCCAAAAATATGATCTTTAAACACTAAGATATCAACTTCTTGTCCTTTGTGCAAATGATATATTCTCAGAATTTGTAAACATGCCAAGACAGAATGTAAAACAAGGAATTGCCCAACATATACAGCCTGCGTACGCTGTTGTCAAGATGAAACATGACATTATTAATTATCTAAGATGAAACAAATAATGAATGTTTTGTCAGCTTCTGAGGCATCTTCTTATTTGAGGAGGGAAGAGGTTCATTTCTTTACATTGGATATACAAATTCTGCATGCAAAGGGGAAGAAGATCGGGCGCTAACTGCAGGATCGATGGAGGGAAAATCATCAACTGGCTGGGGGAAATCATTGGGTGTACCTAGTGTGCAGGAGATTGTTAGAAAGGATGCCAAGGATGTTCCTGAAAGATACATTCAGAATGAAGAGGATAGGCCTCTAGCTTCCAAAATCTCTCAGTTATCATCTGAAATTCCTATCATAAATCTCTCTTTGCTTGATAATGGAGATGAAGATGAACTGAGAAAGTTGGATTTTGCTTCCAAGGAATGGGGTTTCTTTCAGGTATGCTCTCAGCTCCCTTGCTCGTCTTTTTCATTTATCGAAATTGTTAATAAAATAAGAGAGAACATATGGGTTTATAAGGTCATAAGTCAGACTAGCTAAGATGTTAGATTTAATCTGGTTTGGCTCATGTGCATTATAGCCCAATTGAGTGACTCTGGCTCAACCTTAGATTATAACAGAAATTTAGAGATGCAATCTTGCAGGTGATAGATCATGGAGTGACGAACGAAGTGCTGGAAAATATGGAGGCAGCTGTAGCATCATTCTTTGAACTCCCTGTGGAAGAAAAAGAAAAGTATGCAATTGCAGAAAACGATATACAGGGATACGGGCAAACCTATATAGTCTCTGATCAACAAAAACTCGACTGGAATGACTCCATGTTCTTAGTGACACTGCCACCAAAATACCGGGATATGAAGTACTGGCCATCCACATTAGCAGGCTTCAAGTATGTATAGTACTTAAAATTTCTGCAATATTGATTGATATTCTTTCATGATTTGATCTGTTTGTGCTCAGGGAAGCCGTCGAGCAGTATGCTAAAGAAATAGAAATGGTGAGTACTAAGATTTTAGCCAATTTGTCAGTGTTAATGGGCATGGAAAAACACAGTCTAAGAGAGATGCATGGAGAGATGAAACAAGGCATTAGATTGAACTACTACTCGCCTTGTGCTAAACCCGATCTTGTTCTTGGAGTTAGACCTCATTCCGACATTAGCTCCATATCTCTACTTGTGCAAGAAGACGAGATCACGGGCCTCCAAATAAGGCACAAAGAAGCATGGGTTCCTGTAAATCCTATTCCAAACGCAATCGTTGTTAACATAGGTGACGTTATGGAAGTAAGGCTACTCAGATCACCCTATATAAATGTCTTGAACCTTATATGTGTGAGCATATAACCATTAATGTGTAATCCAACTATCAGCTTAGACTTTTAGTTGAGATGGAACACATGCTTCAATTTGGTATTAGACTTTTAGTTGAGATGGAGCACATACTTCAATTATATGCAACTAAACAGTGCTATTGGTTTTTCAGGGTTGGAGTAATGGGGTATACAAAAGCATTGAACACAGAGCTGTTACAAACCAGACAAAGGCTAGAATCTCCATTGCAGCATTTGTAATTCCAGAAGACGAGGTGGATGTTGGGCCCGTTGAAACGATGGTGGATGATCGTCTTCTTTCAAGAAAGTATAAAAGTGTTAAGTATATTGATTTTATTAGGTACAATCTGGCAAGGAAAATGGATGGAAAATCACACACAGACTATCTGAAACTATAAAGCAAGCAAGCAGTAGTTGAAACTCAATATAATTTTCTCAAAAATGTCAAAACCATGCATGTAATACTTCTGTTGAAGTTTTATGTTTTCTTCCTTTGAAAGATGAAGCCACTGTCTGTCTGCCAGCTTCTTGGCTTATGTTGATAGTATCATTGGAGCTACGATAATAATACTTCTGTTGGGTTATATTTTGTATATAATACCTGATCCCCACCACCATAAAACTAATCAGATTTGGTCCGAAGAGTGCCCAAGTCGATCCTCCACCTTATAGTTGCATTAGCAGTTCGTTTACCAACTGTCTCAAACTGTTGGGCTATGTGTATTTGTATACAAGAAAATAAAAATGTTTCAAATTTGCAGATAGTGGACCACAGGATAGCAAAGAAGGTGGTGCATAACATAAAGGCAGGCTCGGTCCTATCATTTTATTGGCCCAGGACAAGTAAAAAAAAAAAAAGGCCCTATCCGAACTTAACATATATTTTAATACCTAAAATTTAAATTATTTAAAAGATAAAAATACTATTGCATGACATCTAACTTTTTTTTTAAATAACCGCCAATTAGAGATAAGCTGAAATCGTGTCAGGTGGGATGTTCTCCCCGTACATAGATGTAGACTGACTAAAAACTGAAGATGCTAATGTATGAGTTAATAAATTATTCGATCTAGGAACAAACTTAACTAAGCAGTAATTGAAATGAGACATAAGAGATCTACAACTATCAATGGCATAGCCAACGTACGAACGAAGAGGGCCCGTAGCAGATGATAAATATTGGTGTAGAGTCTGGCAATCCGTGTGTAACACAAAGGACCGTTCCTCCCGATTCCGCATTCAGGACAAGGCTTCCTCACATGCAAATGCTTCTGCCATTAGTGGGGAAAAGCAGTTTGGGAGGTCGGCATTGAAGGCCGCAAGAAAAGCTCCTGTTTCGTCTAGAAGAACGACACCCACCGAGGGCCTTGTTCATTGTGGGGAGATAGCCGGCATCCACGTAGCATAATCGTGGTGGCACATGAGGGTGCACCGTTTCGGTGATCTGGTGCACGGAGCCGCATCCGGCTCGGCTAGGCTTCGGTTTCGGTTGCCAGCGTGGTGAACCTGCCTCCAGGCCTGTATGGCTGCAGCGGTAGTCGCGACTATTTTCCTCGGTGTTGGTAGGTAGGCCTTCCAGACCGCATCTTTTCTTGCTCTCCATATGTGATATAGAATTGCAGCTGCTGCGAACATGATCATATTAGTGTCCAAAACATTTAATATCCCATCAAACCATGTGTAAAAACTATTTGCCATAATAGTGGGGATTGGTAGACGGGATTCATTCCACGTGGCCTTTGCAAAGTCACAAGATACTAAAGCATGCATAACATCTTCATGCGTGACGCTACACATAGCACATGTAGGCTCAATCTCTACTCTCTTTTTAATCAAATTCTCCGTGCTGGGGAGAATATCATTTAAGGCTCTCCATAAAAAAGTTTTCCACTTGAGGGATTTTAAGCTTCCATAGAGCAGGACATTTTCCAAAGTTAAACAAATAAGATTTACAAGTTTTTAACAATTTTACATACACAATAATAATCATGAAAAACATTATTAATGATTTTCAAAATGTAAAATAATCAATAACGACATCAGCGCCTTCAGAAATAAATAATTATAGTTTATAAAAATAAATAAACAATTTAAAATCAAAAAGCTAAAAAACAATAACATTATTATCATAATAAATAATAAATTAATTATTAATAAAAATTTATAAAACAAACTTACAAACAAGGGACGAAACTAAAAATCATCGTAATTGGGAGTGCGGAATCAAAATACTTCAAAACTTAGTAAAATATTCATAATAAAATATTAAACATGATTAAGTTAATTTGATAAAATAGGGGACGAAACTAAAAATCATCGTAATTGGGAGTGCGGAATCAAAATACTTCAAAACTTAGTAAAATATTCATAATAAAATATTAAACATAATTAAGTTAATTTGATAAAATAGTTTGAATAGAAAATGCATTATAAACCACACATATTATATATTGATATGATATTTATAAATACTATTTTTTTTGCGATTGGCTCTATTACAATGATACTTTCTCAACCTAACAAAGAACCAATAACACCTCCACTGAAGCTCGAACTTACAACCTTCCAAATGGAAGTCCAACCCAGGTACCATTAAACCACATAGTCTTGATTATAAATACTAATTTATTTTAACTAATCATTTTAAAGTTTTTTCTAGAATAATTTGGAATACGATGAAACATAGTAGAAACTTCAGAATGCATTAACTTAATAATTCATAAAAATAAAGCAAACTATCATTTAAATTTTTATTAATATTAATAACTAAATCACAAAATTATTTCATATAAATTAATTAATCAAGTTAAATAAGTTTTACAATGCATAACTCATTATAAAAGTTCACAAAATAGCACTAGTTATAAATACAAGTATTAAATTACACAATTATAAATAAATTTCAAAATTATAAATAAATCTCACAAATCAAATTTAAATTAATTAATCAAGTTAAATAATTTTTACAATTCATAACCCATTATAAAAGTTTACAAAATAACACTAGTTATAAATACAAGTATTAAATTATTCAATTATAAATAGATTTCAATATTATAAATAAATCTCACAAATCAAATATAAATTAATTAATCAAGTTAAATAATTTTAAAAATTCATAATTCATTATAAAAGTTCACAAAACAATGTTAGTTATAAATGCAAGTATTAAATTACTCAATTATAAATAGATTTCAAAATTATAAACAAATCTCATAAATCAAATTTTTATTCAATAGTGTTGGTCAAATTTTTTTAACAAATCTCATAAATCAAAATTTTATTCAAGAGTGTTGGTCAAATTTTTTTAACAAATCTCATAAATCAAAATTTTATTTAATAGTGTTGGTCAAAAATTTCGACCTTGTAACCATTGTTATAAGGAGCATGTATCCTACCAATGATGTGCACCTAATTGTGCACATTTTTAGCATTGATTTAATTATATTTGATAGGCTTAAGTTCATAGTTTTGGTAATTTAATTGCATAATCCCTTATTTTATTATTTATTTATGGTTTACACTTGTTTTGAATGTTTTACGGTGTTTGTTAGTGTTTTTGAATCATTTTAGGTCAAAGATATGAGCAAGGGGAGTTCAAGGATGAGTTTGGAGCTATTTTGGACGAGTTCGGGGCCAGGAGACTCGACGCGGGAATTACATGCATTTTTTATAGTTAGCGGATATGTATATACTATATATATAAAAAAGGATGGGGTGGTGTAGGGTAGGCCCCCTCCAAACATGGGCCCTGGGCAAGGGCCAGCCTGCCATTGCCTAGGGCCAACCCTGCATGAAGGCAGTTGTAGCTGGCTTTTTTGAGCTTCCATGGATGGAAAAGAAAAGAGTATGCAATGGCTGCAAATGACAATATTCAAGGATATGACCAATTTTTTGTGACCTCAGATCTTTCATTGAGGTCTTGTTCTTGAATATAGGAAATAGAATTGATTAGCTTCGGATACAAAGTGGTATCAGAGCTTAGATTATGAGATCTTAGATATATGAAATAGAATTGATTAGGCTCTGATACAGGATGGTATCAGAGCTTAGGTTGTGACATCTTGAATATAGGAAATAGAGTTGATTAGGCTATGTTACAAAGTGGTCTCAGATTGTGAAATCGTAGACAGAAGAAATAAAATTTATTAGGCTCTGATACAAAGTGGTATCAGAACTTAAGTTGTGAAATGGGTAAACCATAGTGACTCAATTGATTAATGTTAATCTTTTTTTGGTAAAGGGACGGGGCTAAAGGCCCCATGGGGATTATTTAACTAATCCTTCGTGTAGCAACTTCGCAAGCGTCACGAACCAGAAGATGAAGGAGCCTTTCCAGCGACAAATCCAGGTTATTGTTGAGAACTTGAACCACCGCGAAGATGAAAGAGCCATTTCGGCGACGAGCGTATCGGCTTCCGACGACGAATCCAAGTTATTGTTGAAACCTTGAACCACCGCGAATATAAAGGAGCCCTTCCGGCAACGAGCTTGTCGGCTTTCGGCGGCGAATCCAGGTTATTTTTGAGAACTTGAAACACCGCAAAGATGAAGGAGCCCTTCCGACGACAAATCTAGGTTATTGTTGAGAACTAGAACCACCGCGAAGATGAAAGAGCCCTTCCGAAGACGAGCGTGTCAGCTTCCGGCGACGAATCTAGGTTATTGTTGAGAACTTGAACCACCGCGAGGGAGTCCACTTCTGCCACCAGTGTTGAAAGCATTTGGTACAACCGTACAAATAAAGAATGATCAAGACCAATGTTATTAACAGGATATTATAGAGTTTTGTAGTTCAAGTTTTGCATTTTTAGGGTGAACTGTATACAATGCAATCAAGCAGTATTGAATATGGAGTTAAAGCTTTGCACTCAGGAAAAAAAAAAAAACAAATGTTACACTTTTTACGCATTGTGCACAAGAAGTCGTCATATTTTGAGAGGTTGATTCCACACTATCGTTGGTGAGACTGAATTTTTAATTGGTCCTCTTGTGATAAATTTCATCTTTGGAAAAAGTGTCAAATTGTCCTCCTAAGTCAAGCAAATAGTGCAATTGAGTCCCCTAAGTAAAAAAAGCTCCATTTACATCCCCTAAACCTGTAAAAAAAGTTCAATTAGGTCCAAAATTACTTATTTGGCAGGTTAGTGCCTTCTAATGCTGACATGTCTCTCTTTTTTTTTTTTTTGTTTATATTTATTATTATTATTATTATTATTATTATTATTATTATTATTATTATTATTAGACGTGCAAGCAACAGAAGATCATCACCGTCATCATGGTTTGAGCGCTATACTATCATAATATGGGCATTGCTCATAATCATCATGCACTTACATTGCTCTTCTTCCTTTGTGTTTTCTTGATCATTTTTGTGCCGCAAATACCGAGATTTCCTTTGAAGGACGAATCGTTGAATCTTGACAGTCTGGCATGGATTTCCCCTTAGAGGTTGTTATTAGCAAGCTTGATTGCAGCCAAGGTTTTTGTTTGAATTCTGGAATTTTGCCAGAAAAACGGTTGTTTTCGAGGTGCAGTTCCATAATGCGAGGTAATCTTGTGAGAGATGAATGGATCTTGCCGGTGAATTTGTTGTCGGAGAACCATACTTTCTTCATGGACCTAATCTTGGCGAAGAAAATTTGGTGGAATCTCGCCAGAGAACTGGTTTTTCGAGATGTAAAGAGCCTTGAGCGAGTTGGTTGAACTCCGGGATGGGTTCGGCGAAGGAATTGTGCATGATAGTCAGAGTTCTGAGGCCGTGCATTTGGGATAAGGCTCCCACGTCTATCTTCCCTGACAAATTCAACCGTCGAGATGAAGGTCGGTAACGATGTCGTTCACGCAAATAACGCTGATCCACATATTCCTCTTGTAGCAGGGATCCGTCGGAGACGTAGCCGGTGGTTCGCACAATGATCAAGAAAACTCATGGGAAGAATAGCAATGTAATTGCATGATGATTATGATAGTATAGCGCTTAGACCATGATGACGACGATTATATTCTTTTGCTTGCGCGTCTAAAAAAATAAAATAAAAATAATAATAATAATAATAATAATAACAACAACAACAATAATAAAATATAATAGATTAGCCCCTGATACATTGTGGTATCAGAGTTTAGGTTGTGACATCTTGAATATAGGAAATATAATTGATTATGCTTTGATACAAAGTAGTTTGAGAGCTTAGATTGGGAAATCTTGGACAGATAAAATAGAATTTATTAGGCTCTGATACAGAGTGGTATCAGAGTTTAAGTTGTGAAATCTTACAAGTATAATACTTATATCTTAATAGAGTTAATGCCAGCCAAGGTCTCTTGACTTTGGTGGTTTTGCCATCTATCGTCCTTAACTTTAATATGTCTCAGCATAGTCATCCGACTTTGTAATTTTGACCTTCAACGGTCCTCCCGTTACTTTCTTCCGTTTGCACCGTGAATTTTAGGGGTAAAATGGTAATTTCTTGTTGTTTATTGATTTTAAAGCTAGAAATACATATTTAGTGTAGTTCTTTGGGCTGCAATAGATTGAGAAAATATAGAACATATATTACCTTGTAATAGGGCAAATTATTGTGTGGACCATAACAAAAAGTATATTTTTAATATACTAAATTTACATTATTTGTGTATTGAATGTACATTATACAATATAATGTACACTTAGTACACAAATAATGCACATCCCCTGAATACAATGTACATTTTTAATATATTAAAAGTACATTATTTTTGTATTGAATGTACATTATTTTACACTATACAAAATATGGTCCACACAATAATGATTGTTGTAATAGAGTCAATAGTATTCAAAAAAAAAAAAAAAAAAAAAAAACTTTCAGGGAGTTCTGAACAAAATAAAAAAAATAAAAAAAAATGCACTGAAAATGACTTGGATCCCTAAACAACACCAAAACATGCACTGAAAGTGACGTCGGTCAAATAGGCCACTGAACTGCACACTAAACTACAATTAGACCATTGAACTAAAACAAATGCAATTGGGTTCCTAAACAACACAAACTCATGAAATGTAAAAATTATTTTTTAAAATAATTTTAAACAAAATAAATATTTAAAATTTAAAAAAAAAATAGAACACCTGCAGTCTTCGTCTCCAGCACGGTCCCTTCGTCTCCTGGCCGGAGACGAAGGTACCTCTTCGTCTTCGGCCATGGAGACCAAGGGACCTTCGTCTCCATGGCCAGAGAGATGAAGAAGGTACCTTCGTCTCTGGATTCCTCTATTATTATTTTAATAATATAATTTTCGAGGCACCTTTACCCGGTTGTTGACACGGAAAGTTTTATCAATTTTTTTCTACAACACCTTCTTCGTAAAGATGTCTCGGAAAGTTGGTATTGTATTCTCAATTTTGTACTAGTGAATTAAATTAATTACATTAGCCAACTACCATGTAGTGTAATGGCATTCCAGTTAACATTTCAAATTGGTGGTCATAAGTTATAATACCTTATAAAGAATCATAAGTATTTCAAAAATAATAATAATAACATTAAATATTATAAAATAAAATTTGGCACGACAATGATGATGTGAATGTCGCGTAATCAAATTAACCGTTAATTTTAACGGTGTTAATAATTATCTTTAATTTTACTATTTTAAAAAGTACAAAGACTAAATTCCACAAAATTATACGAAATTAAAATATAGTACATGGACCTTACATGTGCCTTTACCATAAGTTTTTTGGTTATATTGTTAATTAACACACTAATAATGAAACGAAGTTGACATAAATACCAAAAACAAAAATTGACACGAAAATAAAATATGATAAAATTGACCAAGTGATAACAATAACAAAAGGATCAAGTTGTTATATTTACCAATACGTACAACAAATATATAGGTGAGCAACCAGCGCTATACTAGGTGGTGCCCGTCGCAGAATGGAACAAAGTTTCAAACCTAATTTCATTGTTGTATTGTCTCGCAAGTCTACCTTCAAAATTAGCGTACTATTTAATTTGGATATTATATTATTGCAGTTGACATCCTCAATTTTTCCTACCTACTTACAACCTATGACCAAGTTGTTGGGTTTTTAATTTGCATGCAAATTAGGGTACGTGGGACGATCAACTTGCATATATTATTGATTTAGGTGTTATTGAATTTGCATATAATTATATTTCTATATATCATGAACTTTCATTAATATATATTGGATTGTTCGATATCTATGCATAATTTCCAAGCATGCATGGCTCGTGTAAAATTCATGAGTCAACGAACGGATTGCAAACTATATAATTAATAAATGAACCATTCAATTCAATGTTAGTTACTAATATAGAGACTAAGATTAATAGTTTTATATAGTTTGGGACTTTTGGTTGATTACATTTTTTTAAAAATTTGTTGGCATACAAAGGAAGAAAAATATCAAAGTATCAAATAATTACTTAAACTATCAAGTCAATTTATACTAATTAGTTGTTAAGAATGGACAAATATCATCGTGATATAATAAGTTAATATCCTCTCAAGTTTAACTCGTCCCATATAGTCTTTAATTCATAGTTTCATATACACTTTTAGATAGTGATGATAGTAAGTTTTTTTTTTTTTTTTTAATCACTTGGTTATATTTGATTATTGCGGATCGGAGTAATTAATTATGTTTTCAAAGTTCGATGTTGCTTTGCTAACATTAAAATCTCAAAGGTCATGTTTGGTCACATAGTTAGATTATTAGTCAATTTTGACTTATTTGACTACTATTAGTTGTTTGACTTGGTTAAACAATTAATATGAGTGTTTGATTAATTAGTTTTATGTAACAACTTATTGCTCCAAAATACTAAAATTCAAAAAGTTGCTCAAAGTAATTTTTTCAATCAATTTTTTTAGAAAATCATTTTGCATGTAATCAGCAATTCCGTAACAACTACTATACTAAACACTTATCTATCATCAATTAATGTTACCAACCAATCAAACTCACTAACCTAAGAGTATCCCAATCTGAAGAGCAAGAGAAGTTATTTCACAATTTTCAAGGCATCTCATCCTACATGGAGGTGAGATAAATAAGTGAGAGAAAATGTTGGAAGCCTCTGCATAAACCGGGAGCAAGGAACGAAAGAATGTCAAGAAAGGAGGAACTGCTGTGCGCCTAAAAGTAGTCCACACGGGCGCATCAGGCGCACCTGTCCCTCCTTTAATAAAAAACCAGATTTATTTTTTTATTTTTATTTTATCTCTCCCCTCCTACATTCTTTTTCCTAATCACTCTTACATTCTCTCCCAATTCGCCTCAACGGTTGCGGATGGTCTAATAATCAACTAAGGGGTACTTACTAAATACTCCCAAAGTATCACTTTAAGTAGGATACATGCTATGTGCATCACCTTTTTTTGTTTTCCAAGAAATTTGCAGCATCCAACTTGTCTCACACATTACAAGGAACATTGATATAATAAACAAACATAAAGATTACTCCGTACTTCTACCCATGACCACGATGAACATGGATGCACAAAGACTCGTAATTCATTTACATCATTGCTCAAAATTTCATGAAAAATAACATGTTTAATCCTTTAATATAATTGTACGTGATTATATCGTAATGTAAAATTAATTCTTTTTTAATTACTAAATTTGCAGCGTAAAAGCCCTTAAATTCTGAATAAAGCTAAGTGTCAGATTTTGTTTCTCCAGTTTTAACTAAATGCTAATTTTAACAATGACCAAATCCGTCATTTTATTAAGAATTTATACCAATCGAACTAAATTTATACAATTCATGAGAGTAACATATTAATTTTCTTATAAATCAAAATCTATACAACCTAAGAATTTAGAGTAGTTAGTAAATTGCCGGTAATGCACTATAAGATCGAAGAATCAACAGCATACACGTTAATAGTTAATACACAATTACAACTAATAACTAAAAGTTAAATGTCATTTTCCCAAAATACTATACAATTTATTGTTGGAAATTACGTTAGTAAGTAACCTAAAAGAGAATCATTTTAAAATGGTTTTTAGAACAACGAAAAGGTTGTCATATTTATGTTTTTAGGACAGTTTAAAATTAGTAGTTGGTAGAGTTAAGTCACCGGTAATTGGCTATAACGTGGCGTACATGTCTTGCATTCCCATGCAAACATGTCTCCGCTTTGAATACATATATAGAAGACACCATTTGTCTACAGATAATCTAAACAGCTTCATTCTTCCATTACAACAGATTAGATTCAATTCAATCCTCCTTCATCTAACAACCCTTTGATTATATTCTTAATTATAACGATTAGATCGAAGAAAATAATAAACAAGAAAGAAAGAAAGAGACAATCTTGGCCGCCATTAATGGAGTCTGTGGTTTCTGAGCTAGAAGGGACGCTGTTGAAGGACCCAGACCCGTTCTGCTACTTCATGCTGGTGGCGTTCGAGGCGTCGGGGTTGCTCCGGTTCGCGGCGCTGCTGATGCTATGGCCGGCGATTAGGGCGCTGGAGGTTTTCGGGAAGGGGGAGATGGGGTTGAAGGTGATGATTTTCGTGGCCACCGCCGGGGTGAGGATGTCGGAGATTGAGGCGGTGGCGAGGGCGGTTCTGCCCAAGTTTTACTTGGACGACGTTGAGATGGAGGCTTGGAGGGTTTTCAGCGGCGGCGGCGAGAGACGGCGGGTGGTGGTGACGAGGATGCCGAGGATCATGGTGGAGATGTTCGTGAAGGAGCATTTGAGAGCCGACGAGGTTGTCGGGAGCGAACTCGCCGTGAATCAGTTCGGATTCGCCACTGGATTCATCAAGGAGGATTTTGATTCCATTCATGAACGTGTTGCAACGTTGTTTGAAGGTGATGATCATGGTCTACCTAGCTTAGGCCTTGGACGCTCCAATCCGGCTTCTTCCTACCTTTCCTTGTGCAAGGTAAAATATTAGCTCTCTAAGTAATATTAGACATACTTTTAATTATAATATTACAAGTTTGACAGTTAATCTAATCGCGCTTAAGCACTAGACGCCAACCATCTAGCATATCATCATAACTGATGGTCTAGACAGCTGCGCTGGTCAGTTAAGTGGCCGGCCTCATAAACACCAGCTAGAGGTAGCCTAGATAAAAAAAAATAAAATAGAAAATACAATACCCTTAAAGTATTAATTAATCGCTGCCTAGACGTCCTAAGCTCTAGGCAAGGACTTGAGAAGTGTTTATGGAATAGAAATTTACTTTATGGAACTTTATTAACAATGGGTTTATGATGATGAACAGGAGAAGTTGAGTCCACCATTTATGAGCAGCAAAGGGCAAGACCACCGACATATGATTCAACCGGCGCCGGTGATTTTCCACGACGGCCGCCTTGTGAAGCGTCCGACGCCCTCCACGGCGCTCCTAATCCTCCTATGGATACCGCTAGGGGTCCTACTCGCCGCCATTCGGATTGTAATATATTCATCTTTTCCCATACGCCTCGTCCTCCTCCTAGCTCCCATACTCGGCGGCAATGTCAAAGTCAAAGGCAAGCCCCCGGTGCCGGCGGCCTCCAAATCCGGCGTGCTCTTCGTCTGCACCCACCGAACCCTAATGGACCCCGTCGTCCTCTCCGCCGTCCTCGGCCGCAAAATCCCCGCCGTCACCTACTCTGTCTCCAGATTCTCCGAGCTCCTATCCCCAATCCCCACCATCCGCCTCACAAGAATCCGCGACATAGACGCCCAGAAGATCAAACGCGAGCTCGAAAACGGCGACCTGGCCGTCTGCCCGGAAGGAACAACGTGCCGGGAGCCATTTCTGTTAAGATTCAGCGCGCTTTTCGCGGAGCTAACCGACCGCATCGTACCCGTGGCGATGAACTACAGAGTGGGGTTCTTCCACGCAACCACCGCTCGGGGGTGGAAAGCCATGGACCCGATCTTCTTCTTCATGAACCCTCGACCGGTGTACGAGGTAACATTCTTGAACCAGCTGCCGGTGGAGGCGACATGTTCGGCCGGGAAAAGTCCGTACGACGTTGCGAATTATGTGCAGAAGATCTTGGCGGCGACGTTAGGGTTCGAGTGCACAAACTTTACGAGGAAAGATAAGTACAGAATTCTTGCGGGGAATGATGGAACGGTGGTGTCGAGTTCCAGAGGCGATGGGGTGAAGAAATTACTGGGCACGTTCAAGAAGGTGGTGGGCACTTTTAAGCCATTTATTCACTAGAAAATATAAAATTAAAAAAAAAAACAAGTTTTTTTTTTTTTTTTTTTAATTATGCAGAAAGGCAGGGTTTGTGTTTATATATTCTTTTGATTTTATTTTTATTTTTTAATCATTAAATAATATACTGATGTTATTTCCTGTAATTCAGTGTGTGGGGTTAATTTGAGTGTATAATTTTTATTCAATTTTTGTTGTTTTATTTTTGGAGTTTACTTTTTCAGCCATAAATACTTGAAATGTGAGTTAAATATATTTTATTCAGCAAAATATGAGTACATATAAATTTTCATAGCTAGAAAGCTCGAGGTTTAATTTAAAGTTTATAGTTGACAATGATTTTTTCTTGATCAACTTTACTACTACTTAAAAATTTTAAAAAATCTTTTTTGTTTTGTTTCTGGGGGAGGAACCAATGAATAAAACTCGAGACGTACTATTATTTAAATGTGTACATGAAATAAATCTCACTCATATGTAATAATTGGTAAATTAAAATGAAAAGTAGGCTGCACTAGGAAGACCTTGTGTAACAAATTCGGCAAAAAAAATATTATATAATCTTGCATTGATATACATTAAAATACTTATTTAAATATAAATCATTAGCCTATTTCTGCAATGCGCATCAGCATGTAAAACTGGGTCAATGACTTTAATGTGTAAATGAGAGGAGAGAGACACAATATTATGTAGATTTGAGAAAAAATGTGTAAAGTGAAAAAGTAAGGTTTTAACAAATAAGGTAATTCAGTTACCTTTTTATACAATTTCTATATTTTCATGCAATAATAATAATAATAATAATAATAATAATAATAATAATAATAATAATAATAATAATTATTATTATTATTATTATTATTATTATTATTATTATTATTATTATTACTACGAAATTTTTAGTGGTATTATTATTATTGAATTTTAATGAGAAGTGGGAGTTTCAGTATTCAGTTTTTTTTTTTTTTTTTTTTCCAAATTTTGGTATTGGTATTTCAGTTTTTTAAAAAATAATACTATTCGGTTTAACATAATATTATAGTTTGGTTTGATTTCAGTTCAGTTTGAAAATTTTTAATTTCAATCGAAATTAGTTCAGTTCGGTATTTAAGAACCTCAATTCTTAACCGTTAATAGTATTCTAGCGTAAATAATTTAGTAATTAACTAATTATTTTTATTAATAATTTAGAATTAAAAATTCATTATGTATCGAGTTCAATCTTCATTTGTCCTATTAATACTTTTCACAAAATTATCTAAGATTTTGAATCTACACAATTTTGTCTCAATCCCTATCAAATCTACATATTATTGGCAATGATTCTGTAAAACTAGTATTTTTATAAAGAAAAAATAATACACATAATCCATTTATCATTTTCCTTTAAAAAAAATGATAACTTGTTGAAAAAAAAAAAAAGATCACCACCCAAATTCCCCACTCTTGACTATCCCAATCTCACGCGCCAGTAGAGCTTACGTTCCAGCCAAAGCTACACGTGTCACGTAGTCAAGACGTCTCTGTACACACTATATTCCAAGTCATACACAATATTTTATGTTTCCCAGTTTACCCCTAGACAAAAGTTTATTCACTTTCGACCCATTACCCATATAATTGGTCTCTCACAACTCACACCCTTCCTTCAGCCTCCTCCGTGTGTAACCCGCCGGAATATTCACAAAAAAAGGTTCAAATTTTCACAATCTTTTCATCCAAAGATTTGATTTTTCGTATCCATTTATCGTGAATTTTAGATCCTATATATAGAGATGTCGATGCCTTCAACGTATTGGTGCTACAGATGCAATAGGTTTGTGAGGGTTTGGAGCCAGGGTTCGGTAGCGTGTCCGGATTGCAATAGCGGGTTTGTGGAGGAAATCGACAATTCGAACCGATCCTCCGCCTTGGATTCTCAACGGCGGAGATTCCCGTCGTCGGCGATGTTCATGATGCGGAATTTGGATCGGAGCTCCGGGTCGAGTCCGCGACTCCGGAGGAGCAGAAGGAATGGTTGGGACCGTTCGCCGTTTAATCCCGTCATTGTTCTCCGAGGGCCGTCGGATGGCGGCGGCGAAGGGGGTGGAGGAGGGAGGGGGTTTGAGTTGTACTATGACGACGAGGCGGGGGCGGGATTGAGGCCTTTGCCGGCGAGTATGTCGGAGTTTCTTCTCGGGTCGGGTTTCGACCGCCTGTTGGATCAGTTGACCCAAATTGAAGCGAACGGCATCGGAGGAATCGAGAATCCGCCGGCGTCAAAAGCGGCGATCGAGTCAATGCCGACGATCGAGATCGCGGATTCCCACATATCCACCGAATCTCACTGCGCCGTTTGTACGGAGCCCTTCGAGGTCGGGAACGACGCTCGCGAAATGCCCTGTAAGCATCTATTCCATTCCGATTGCATTCTCCCATGGCTTTCCATGCGTAATTCCTGCCCTGTTTGTAGACACGAATTACCCCCAGACACTAGAAACCCTAGCGACTCCATCAGGGGCTCATCAGATCCCCAAAACATCACACCAAACGATGACGAAGCCGTAGGGTTAACAATATGGAGGCTCCCCGGCGGCGGTTTCGCCGTGGGGCGGTTCACCGGGGGTAGAAGAGGCGGGGAAAGAGAGTTCCCCTTAGTCTACACCGAAATGGACGGTGGGTTCAACAACAATGGAGTTCCCAGGAGAATTCCCTGGGGCTCTAGGGGCAATCAATCACAGCAAAATGGTGGCTTCAGAAGAGCTTTCTTCAACCTCTTTGCCTGTTTCGGTAGAGTTGGTTCATCACATTCCAATTCTAGCTTAGGCTCTAGGATAACTCGCAGGAGTAGTAGTTCACTATCGACCAGAAGACGCAGGGGCTGGAGTTTCGGGGCCAATGATGAACCTCAAAGGTGGTGATCTTCAATCCCCGGGAGAGATTGCTATCACGAGATGTAAATAACTAGATAATGATAATGCAATAGCGAATCTTCTGTGGCACATCCTGCTGTGGATACCGATTAACCACAAACAAAGCATTCGCGGGGACGTTGCAGAAGAGGTTTAGAAGTGATGGTTTAGTACCAGCTGTGGATAACTTTCGTGTGGAAGCTGCTGCAGAAGAGGTTTAGTGCAATAATACCTGCTGGGACTATGAACTTTCGCGTGAGAAGGTTTAGCAGTGAAGGATGACTTCAAGAACGAAAGAATCTAGGGGTTAGTGGAAGAAGAAGGTACACACAGCCTGGACTTTGCAATTAACCTGCATTTCTTTTCTTTAATTTGATGATCCCGCATGATGATGCTAGGCCTTGCCTTTCAGCTTTAAACGTTTTTCTGTGCCGAGTAATTGAATCCTTACGAAGGATCATAAAACTTTATGATTATAGCTTTTTAAATTGTATGATCTTTGGTGGAGCATGACAAGATGACATCTTCATTCATACTTTTTAAATTCTTTTAGTTGCTGGAGAAAGTGTATTCCTTTTCTTGGGTACCTTATCTTTTCATTTTTGGATTAATAATGTAACGAGTTTATTTATCAGTTTGCATGATGGGGTTTCTTTAGAGCTGAAAAAATAGTTTATTTATCAGTTTGCATGATTGAAGTTTTGTTCTTGTTGTAGTTGAAATGTTGGATGAAGGTTCACATTCTTTTTCCCACCCAACAAACCTGCTGTTAATGTTATGGTGGGTGTAGTTAGGTAGCATGATGATGGGATAATGAACCCGAACTAGTCCAAATAAATTAGAGTTAATACCTCCAATGGTCCTCCGAGTATTAGCGATTTACCAGCTGTGGTCATCCGAGTTTTGATTGACCTCCAATGGTCCTCCATGTTTTAAAAAATAACCACTCGTGGTTCTAATTTTTAAAAAAATCTTGAGTTTAAAATGATCACGAGACGTCGTAAAAGGACTATGGGTGGTTATTTTTTAAAACATGGAGGACCATTGGAGGTCATTCACAATTCGGATGACCATAACTGGTAAATCGCTAATACTCGGAGGACCATTGGAGGTATTAACTCAAATAAATTATCATGGTCTAGAACAAACACTCTAGACCGTTTGGTTGGAAGGAAAGAAGTGGTATAAAGACTAAAATATCCTTAGTGTAATAATAATCAAGGGTAATTTTTTCTTTTTTTTTTCTTTTTCCCATTGAATTGCAATTCATATGGGAGAGGGTATGAATTGCAATTCAACAAAATGAGGAAATTGCAATTCGATGAAATTGTACAATTCCCTCCAACTGAACACTGCAATTCGGGTGGTTAAAGAATTGTGCTGTAATTGAATTGCAACTACATCCAACCAGGCATAGGCTCCATTAGAACTAACTCGGGACTCGACAGGTGGTCTCATAGTAATTCACAAGGTTAATACAAGGATTATCCTATCCATGTGATGACAGCAAAACTCTTATTAAGTTGTGGGATTTTGTCTCATAGTAATTCACAATTTGGAGAATCAGTGGTTAATTGCCAGCCTAATGGGATACAGAGTTTGTCAAACCTCACAAACATCATGAATTTTGATGATTTTTGGCCCTCAAATATCATTACAGCTTACTAGCTTAGTAGGTTCGAGGGGACAAATTATCCTAAATTGCTACCTTTAAATACATCTCATTTTACTTCTCCTATTTCTTATTTATTGATTAAATTACCTATTTCTCTTCAATGTAGTTTCTTAATATATAAATTTTATATACTAAATACTGAACTTTGATTTATGAGAAAATTCACAATCGATACTCGAAGGTAAACTCTAGGTGAAACTGTTGACAAATAACCACAAGGATCAAAATTAATTTAGGTTGCACATAGTTGACCGACTTAAATAAAGAAGGTCAAAGACATCTCTCACATAGAGTTAAATCTGAAACATTGTGGTACTAAATACTAAACATAATATTATGAAAAATCAAATTGTAACTAATTTTAAATAAGTTCCATTAATCAAATCATACAAATGAAATGATACAAAAAAGTATATATATGAGACGAGGTCAAACTATTCAGCATACTAGCTAGAAGAAAAGCAAATGCCAAAAAAAAAAAAAAAACAATTTTATTGACATACAATTCTTTTGTATTTGTAAAAATCGCTATCTAAATATGCATTTTAAGTAAAACTTGTCTTGTAATCATAGCTATGAAGCTAAAAAATAAAAATAAAAAATTGATAAGACAAAATGGGAAGGATTTGACCAAATTTTCCCACGACAATTCTATGAGGTCAACTAATAAAAATCAACCCATACTGACGTGGCATGATGGATGATGTAGCAATTTGAATTATTGGAGACCAACCATAGGTAATAATTTTTTGAGGTTCGGTGGAGGAATAATCTTCTTCCAAGCACAATGGAAATGAAACATATTAATTTTTTATTTTTTATTTTAAAAAAATTGGTTCAGATATATTTTTTCCATTTCATATTTGTATGACATATTCTTCATTTTCATTTAAAAAAAAATTATTATAATATTTAAATATATAAATTTCAAGAAAATTTTATGGTGACGATCTACATATGTAGGTGTGGTTAGGGGTGTAATTGAGTCAAGTCAGGTCCAAGTAATCAGATTCGAAGCTTGGTTCAGTTCAAAATTAAAATTAAAAACTCGAGTTCAACTCAAGGTTGGCCAGGTCCTAACTTTTTGAGCTCAAACTCGATTTGGCTCAAGTTCAAGCTATTCGAGCTCAACTCGATTATGCTCAAATTTTCTAATTTTATACAAAAGATTATACTAATACATACTTTAAAAAAAAATATCATACAAAAACTAAACATTATATGTCAATCATTTTAATTATAATAAATATAAAAACTCTATTAGGCTTGTGAGCTACTTGAATCAAGTATTAAGATGTTCAAATTTGTCTCGATTTGTCACTCGAACTATTAGAGTTTAAGCTCGGCTCAACAATAACAAAACTGAATTTAAATATTCATCAAATTCAACTCAAACAGCTTAACTCATTTGCACCCCTAGGTGAGGTGCTATACATGGTACAAACACGCATATGTAGCAACCATTTGGGTGTACAATGTATTGTTAGCGTAGATGCTATTGCCAACAACACTAGATACAACCCATTGCACCTACACAATTGTACTAGGTATGACATCATGACATCAGTGTTGTTCGACATCTTAAAACTTTGAATTTATTTAATTCATTATTAATATTAAATTAATTTATGAAATTAAATTATAAATTGTTTGAATTAAAACCTAATTAATTTAATCAGAGATATAAAATAGGATAGAAGAAAATAAATTAAATCGATATTTTAAAAAAATGTATATGTAATATTTTTGTATGAATGGTTCCTATTGAAGCAAGAGGCTACACGAAATTGGAGAATAAACAAAACCGCGTTTGGATAATTAAGAATCAATGTATCGTCCATCACGCCTTGCATGCACCATTGACAATAACCTATGTGACAGAGATATGGCAACCAATCCACTTGTTCTCTTTTGTTTGACTTACCAAATTCCATTGTCATTATATCATTACAACTATTTTTTTAAAAAAAATCATTTGAAATCGTAAAAAAATTAAAATTAAACTTGTTACTTCTTGCTTAAGTGTGTGAAGCATGATTTTTGTATCTAAAGATCAGGAGTTTGATTTTTGTCAACACCCTCTCGGTCGTTGAATCAATTAGTTACATACTCGCATGAGATTTTTCTAGTGCGGTTTACGTTTTCTGCAATCATTTGCAATATACCCGTCTCATTTAAGTAAGTCAGTCTTATGTACACAAGACTTATTTGTTCTCAATCCCAACTGTTACATGTTTAATTTCCTTGATGTTCACCACGGCGACCAATAACTCCCTATCTCCATCATGCCTATAGGAAACATGGTTGTATCCCAATATCACCAACTCGACCAACACATTATTTGCTTACCATGAAAATTACATCTACACAATCTTGTGGTATCAAATGACAACCTTTTTGCCTTTGAATTCTCCGCAACAAAAATATCTTAATCATAATAACTCACTTGTTTTTTTAAACTTTAGAGTCGAGACCTATAAATTTATATTATAAAAGTATAACCAAATCACAAAAATTAACCTAATACCAACCAATTGGACCAGCACAGCACGCATATCATTTTCTTACCATGAAAATTACATCAACCCAATCTTATGGTAAATAACAAAGTAATATCCCTTTCGGCATTGAATCCTCCATGACAAAAATACACTCAAACACCAATTAAGAAGCCAACTGGAAACCAAAGTTGAACGACATGCACGCAAGCCCTAATTTCTATTTAATTACAAGAAAAGTATGTAAGTAATGATGTATGTATCTAATAATCTAAATTGTAATCAATCTTTATATACGAAGGTAAGCCTTACCAACTATTAGTTACAATCATTATATTTTGAATATGTAGTTAACAATTACTTCAATAATCAATATTATCATACTATAATAATTGTGATTCATTTGCTTTGAAAGAGGTGATTAGTGTGTGGAGTATAATTCTTATATTTAAAAGTAAGGAGTTCGATTTTGTCACTAAAATGTCACTTAATAAAGTGGCTGGTTTGACCCTAAGGGATTAAATATGCCCATTTGATAATAACTAATAAATGATTAAATGTGCCTCACAAATAATTTACACAATAGTCCTAATTGAAAGAATATTATATATTTTCTCTTAAATTGCACTATTAACACTCCATAATCATTATCTATAGAGATATTTTATTTCTCTAATTGATTGAGAGTGTTCAAATTATTAATTATAACTAATTCAAAATCTTTAAATCATTAATTATATTTGACATTTAGTAATAATAAATTAATAATTATAGGCCTGCAATAATCATTTTAATAAAAACAAAATTGAAGGAATCTTGTAACAGGTTTGGAGCAGGACTGAAGAAAGAGATCATATCGACATTTGGGAAAAGGGTAGCTGGAAATATTGACTAAAAAGATGAATTTAGAACTAAAAATTCAATTTTTTTTTTATGACAAAGAAACCGCAACAATTATTTGATTGTATGCATCAGCCATCAGATAAATCTATTCTGGTGTAAATTGTAATAGCTAGTAAATTTGTGAATTATACTATAAAATAATAAATTGCATTAAAAATTTTTTTTAGGACAGACTCAATCAAGAGGGTATTGGCAAAAATCAAACTCGTAACGTGACTTCTAGTATGATAATCATGCTCCACCATTCGACCCTTTTTGAAGCTCCTTTTTAATTTTTTTTTTAGGTGACGAGAGAAACATACTGTCACTACCCAAAAGTAGCTTTGCTCCTATGTATATGTGTAATAGTCAGTAAACCACACTAGAAAGACTTACGCGACTAGCTCAACTGAAAAAGTATTGGCAAGAATTAAATATGTAACCTTCTAGTATGACATGCTTCATCCATTTGATCGTCCTTTCGGGCTAAAAATCTAATTTTGAAACAACAAATCTGGGTACTATTATTAATTATTTTGTCACATAGTACCGTCCAAATAATGCCGAGGTTTTATTACTTAGAAGACTTAATTGCTTGAGTTTAACTAATTATTAGGTGTGAAACAGATGAACCTGTCATCAA